AAACCTTACAGCTAACATACTTCATAGTGAAAAACTAGAGGCTTTCCCACTATGATCAGAAACAAGGCTAGGATTTCCTCTCTCACTATTCCTTTTCTTTTTTATTATTTATTTATTTTATTTTTGGCTGTTTTGGGGTCTTAGTTGTGGCATGTGGGATCTTCATTGCAGCACATGGCCTCCTCGCTAGTTGTGGCATGCGGGCTTCAGAGTGCGTGGGCTCAGTAGTTGTGGCACTCGGGCTCCAGGGTGCATGGGCTCTAGTCGTGGCATGCGGGCTCACTAGTTGTGGCACGCAGGCTTAGTTGCCCCACGGCATGTGGGATCTTAGTTCCCCAACTGAACCCGCGTCCCCTGCATTGGAAGGTGGATTCTTAACCACTGGACCACCAGGGAAGTCCCTCAGTATTCCTTTTCAATATCATACTTCAATTCCTAGCTAATGCAGTAAGAGAAGAAAAGAAAACAAATGGTATACAGGTTGGGAAGGAAGAAATAAAGCTGTGTTTGTTCACAGATAACAGGATTGTCTATGTAGAAAATTCAAAATAATAAAACTTACTGGAACTAATAAGTGATTATAGCAGGGTTGCAGGATACAAGGTTAATATGTTAATCAGTTTCTCTGTATCAGCAGTGAACCAAGTGGAATGTGAAATCAAAAACAATACCATTTACATTAGCATCTCCCCCAAATGAAATACTTAGGTATAAATAAAACAAAGTATGTTTAAGAGATATATGAAAAAAACTAAAAAACTGTAATGAAAGAAATCAAAGAAGATAAAATACATGGAGAGATGTTCTGTGTTCATGCCAGGAAGACTCGATATTGTGAAAAAGTCAGTTCCTCCCAACTTAATCTATAGATTTGACACAATCCCAGTCAGAGTGTCAGCAGGTTATTTTGTGAATATCTTCAGGCTGATTCTAAAGTTTCTATGGAGAGGCAGAAGATCCAGAAGAGCCAACACAATATTGAAGGATAAGAATAAAGTCAGGGGACTGACGTTCCTGATTTCAAGACTTACTATAACTGTGTAGCACTGGGAACTCTACTTAATGTGCTGTGGTGACCTAAATGGGAAGGAAATCCAGAAAAGAGGAGCTATATGTGTATATAGAGCTGATCCATTTTGCTGCACAGCAGAAACTAACACAACATTGTAAAGCAACTACACTCCAATAAAAGTTAATTTAAAAAAGCCTTACTATCATGCTACGGTAACCAAGGTAGTGTGGTATTGGTGAAAGAGCAGACAAAGAGATCAGTGAATCAGAGAGCCCAGAAACAGACCCACGCAAATATAGACCCACTGATCTTTGACAAAGGAGCAAAGGCAATACCATGGAAAAAGGTAGTCTTTCCAACAAATCGTGCTGGAACAACTGGACATCCATATGCAAAGAAATGAATGTAGACACAGACCTTACACTTTTTAGAAAAATTAACTTAAAATGGAGCATAGGTCTAAATGTAAAATGCAAAACTATAAAACTATTAGAAGGTAACATAGAAAGTCTAGAAGACCGTGGATTTAGTTATGACTTTTTAGGTACAACACCAAGAGCATGATCCATGAAAGAAAGAATTGAGAAGCTGGACTTCATTAAAATTAAGCTTCATTAAACATTTGACGTTAATGTTGAACGTTGAACGTTGAATTTCATTAGAATTAAAAACTGCTCTGCAGAAGAGAGAGCTGTCTGTCTCTCTGTCAAGAGAATGAAAAGACAGGCCACAGACTGGGAGAAACTATTTGTAAAAGACGTATCTGATAAAGTACTGTTATCCAAAATATACAAAGAATTCTGAAAACAACAAGAAACTGAACAAATTAATTGAAAAATGGACAAAAGATCTGAACAGACAACTCACCAAAGAAGACATATAGATGGCAGATAAGCACATGAAAAGATGCTCCCCATCGTATGTCATTAGGGAATTGCAGTTAAAAACAACGAGATACTTCACACCTATGGGAATGGCAAAAATCCAGAACACTGACAACACTAAATGCTGGCGAGGATGTGGAGCAACAGGAATGCTTGTCACTGCCGGCGGGAACGCAGAATGATGTTCCCATTTGGGAGACGGTTTGGTGGTTTCTTACAAAACTAAACATACTTCTACGTACAGTTTTGCAGTTGTACTATTTATTTACCCAAATAAGATGGAAACTTATGTCCACATGAAAACCTGCACACAAATGTTTACAGCAGCTTTATTTATAATAGCCAAAATTTGGAAGCTACTAAGATGTCCCACTGCATGTGAATGGATCAGTAAACCATGGTATACATCCTGACAACGGAATATTGTTCAGTGCTAAAAAGAAATGAGTTATCAAGCCATGAAAAGACACGGAGGAAACTTAAGTGCATATTCCTAAGTGAAAGAGGCCACTCTGAAAAGGCTGCCTGCTGTACGGCTCCAGCTGTATGCCATTTTGGATAAGTCAAAACTGTGGAGACAGTAAAAGGATCGGTGGTTGCCAAAGGTTAGGGAGGGGGAGGGATGAATAGACGGGTTCCAGAAGATTTTTACGGGAGTGAAACTACTCTGTTGATACTATGATGATGGATACATGTCATCACACATTTGTCAAATCCATAGAATGTGCAACGCCAAGAAGGAATCGTAATGTGAGCCGTGGGCTTTGAATGATGTGTCAGTGCAGGTCATCAGCTGCAACAGCTGTGCCATTCCAGGCCTGCTAGTGGAAGAGGCTCTGTTCACATGGGGGCAGAGGACATACGAGAACTCTGTACTTCGTGCAGAATTTTGCTGTGAACCTAAAACTGCTCAAAAAGATAGTCTATTAAATCACTTTAGAAACAGGTATGTATTACACATAGAAAAATGCAACCAAGATTCTTTTTTTAAATCTTTCAATTTTGATTTGGAGAAAATTAAAGGATCTTGCCATGTACTTAATTTCACTTAACAGAGTGTTGATAGGGAAACTTTGGTAAATACAGCTGCATTCAAGGTCAGGTTTGCATTTGATTTCTAATTTTCATGAATAACAGAGTTACTCTTCCCTGGAGAAATATGCAGTGATGACTCATCACCTGTTAAATTCCATTTCTGACCCTTAGTGTTGGGTCAGGGTTCTACAGAGTCTGCTTCCAGTGACTATTCACGTCAGCAAACATGTCAGTCAGCAATGCCTGTTAGTTTGGTGTGTTGGAAAAAGACATGCTTGAATTTAGACCTCAGTGTTTCCACTTGCTGATGATGTGATCTTGTATAAGTCATTTTACCTCTCAGGACCACAGTTTTCTCTTCTACAAAATGGAATAGGAATATTGGACACGGAATAAGGGACAATGGAATACAAAATGCATAGTTTGAATGGTGCCTGTATATTGTCATTGTCTGCCCTGCCTACCCTACCAGCCATGTTACCCCTTGGCCTGCCAGTCACCTGCCGTAGGAAGGGACATGTGTTCAGGTTAGCATCCGAGAGTACCCTGCGTCCAGGCACATCGACCCGGGTAGGAGCAGTCCGAGCCCTTGGCGGGGTGCTGTTCAGGATCTTCAGAGAGGATCTTAGCTCGTTAGGAATGTTAAACCAGAGCTGTGTCTGGTCCTCTTACTTCCAGAGGGAGAGAGCCTTCCTGAAAATCAGGCCTTTGGGGTGAGAATTTTCTCTCTCCTAGGCCCGTGGCAAATATCTGTTGGATGTTTGCAGAATGAAAACACTTCTCCTCCCATCTAGAAGGGGGTATTGTTTCGAGTAAATGTATTTTTTGGAGAATGAAACAGCTCTGTCTTAAAAACAGTGAACAGGTTTTTCTGTGAAGCTGTTTTGTCCAACTAAAATTTGGGTTCTGGGTTTAACAAGCTATGCAGACATTTCCAGATCAGTCATGAAAGGTTACAGGGAAGGACAGCAGAGAATTCTGTTTTGGTTTAACTGGGCAGGAAGTGAAGGAGGCGGGGGTGTCAGGAGGAGAGGGTAGCTGTATGAGAATTAGGAAAATGGCCCCAGTGGAACTGTTGCCAGGGAGGTGCCTGGTGTACCAGGAGAAGGCTGCTACAGCGGGCCAGAATCAGGTGTCCGGTCCAGTTGGAATGGAGTCTCCTGGGCTCCACGTGAGTGGGGGCGTCACAGTGTCTGGCTTGAGCGCAGCCCTCATGAGGACAGGAAATTGGGCCTGTCTACATCAAGTACCCTCTCCTTGCCAGCTAGAGAGATGCCTGTCTGTTCTGTGAGGCTCTGCTCCACCACCATCCTGCTACGTCATGAGCACATCCCCAGGACAGCAAGTCCAAAGGGAAGTAGTTCCTGCAGTCACGTTGGAATTATTGGACGGAGCAGGTCACAGTCCCTTGAGCTGGCACGGTGGGGACAACATCTGCTGCGACCGTTGGACAGAGGAGAAAATGGAGGGTTAAAGCAGCCAAGTAACCCCTCGAGGTCCAGCTTGTAGATGACCGTCTGCACTCACACCTGCCTCCGACCCCAAGATCCACATTCTTTCCCTTTGACCGTGGTGCCTTTTCTACTCTGCAGCTCCCAGTGAGGAGGCGCCCCGTGAGGCCAGACAGACCCAGAGGCAGCACTCCTACAGAAACCCCACCAGACGGGCGGAGGGAGAGGCGGCCTAGCCGACCCTCGTGTCTGGGTGAGGCTGTGGCACCTGCAGAGCAGGTGAAGCCTGGCCCTGCACGACCAGCGGGATGCATTGGCCCTGTGGGTTCCCTCTGCCCAGCAAGACCAACAAAACCTCGGGATGATGCGTGCGAGGCCTGCCCTTTGTACTGTCTCTACCTTGTGTGTTAAGGAGTCTCTGTTCCTCAGCTGGACTGTAGGCCCGTTGAAGGCAGGCGTCTGTGTCTTGGTGCAGTGCCTCTGTCAGGGCTACACATGTCAGAAATGAGATGCTGGACAGTGAGCGCTGTGTGGAGATGTGAAGTGTGTGGGTGTACATGACACGTGACTTTTTAGAAAATAAAAGATTTCAGTAGCAAGACAAAAAGTGTGTTTTACCTCATCATTGTAAGTTGTAACAGTCACAACCATTCCCAGACCAGGAGCAGATTCAAGGAAATCGTGTCTGCCCAAGTCCCACTGTTGTATCTTGAAAGTCCCTGTTTCAAAAATATAAGACATTTATTTTTATTTATCTTTTTTAAGTCTTTATTAAATCCCATTGAGAAACATACAACTAGTAAATATATAACGTTGAAGATGTTATATGTGCTACAAGAAGAAGCAACAGACAGGGTGGGAGTGGTAGGGGACTTGGAAGCATTATGTGGGGAAGTCAGGGAAGGCTTCTCTGACGTTTGAGCAAAGACCTGAAAGGATAGGGGAGTAAAAATGTATCCGCTTCTATGATATTTGTTTATCACATACATGCAGGTTACATCCATATCTATCTGTGCATCACATTCAGTGCTAATTGTGTGCCAAGCACCGTTCTAAGAAACTTACACGTGTAATCTGAATTGTCATGACAACAGCGCTATGTAGGTAGCTAATATTTTATGACGATTTTACGTGTGATGACACTGAAGCATAAAGTACTTTGCCCAAGGTCACGTACCTAGCAAGTAGCAGAGTCAAGATTCAATCTAGGCAGTGTAGTGCCTTTTTCCTTACTACCTCGTGATGCTCCCTCCACTGGTGAAAGATCGTCCCATGCAGGAGGATATGCAAAGGTCCTGGGGCAGGAGAATGCTTGGAGTGTCCAAGGAACAGCAGAGTGCTGGAGTGAAGTTAACAGGAAGAAAATCACAGGAGATGAGGCTGAAGGGGTAACGGGCCAGATCGTGGATGGTCTACAAATCCTTTTTAAAATTTTGGGGAAAGGCTTCGTTGGTGGCACAGTGGTTAAGAATCTGCCTGCCAATGCAGGGGACATGGGTTCGAGCCCTGGTCCGGGAAGATCCCACATGCTGTGGAGCAACTAAGCCCGAGCACCACCACTACTGAGCCTGTGCGCTAGAGCCTGCAAGCCACAACTACTGAGCCCGCGTGCTACAACTACGGAAGCTCGTGTGCCTAGAGCCCGTGCTCCACAACAAAAGAAGCCACCGCAATGAGAAGCCCGCGCTCCGCAACAAAGAGTAGACCCCGCTCGCCGCAACTAGAGAAAGCCCGTGCGCAGCAACAAAGACCCAACAGACAAAAATTAATAAATTTTAAAAAAAGACCCTATTCCCCCCCAAAAAAAATTGGGGGGAAGCAATTGGGCAGGTGAGTGAAATGATGTGGCTTTCATTTGAACATTTTTTTCGCATGGAGTAAGGAATGAAGAAGGATAGGAGTGGAAGAAGGGAGGCTGTCATCATAGTCTAGGTGGCTTGGACCAGGTGCTAGTGGCAGAGGTTGTAAAAAGTGTTGGATTCTGTATTGTCCCTATTTCACAAGGCGGAAACTGAGTGTCAGAGTCACAGCCCAAAGTCACACAGTGAATAAGCTGTAGGTGCAGAATTAGATCCGAGGTGGTTTGATCCCGAAGCCCAGAACCACCCTGACTCCCTGGGAGGCAGAGAGAGACGCATCCCTGACGGGAACCTCACCCTGGACACGACCGCACGGGCAGCCCTGGGGAGAGAACGGGTTTCCTGGGACGGGCAGGCGGCAACGCCCCTGAGCCCTGCCTGCACTTCGGAGCGGCTTCAGTTCAGGCCTCACTGAGCAGTCCTGGTTGTCTTGTCTCCACAAGTTTGTTAACTCTGTGTCGTGTACGTTATAGACTGTTTAGAATGTTCCAGCTGAAGAGGATCTTTAAAAAAGGTGTCATTGGTGATACCAGAAAAGATGGGGTAAGCCCATTCCACCCTATTTCTCCTGCTAATTACAACTAAAAACCCTGGGCAAAATGTCTAAAGCAAGTATCAGAAGACTCTGAAAGGTGGAGAAAAGAAGGTGACTGCCAAGGACTCAAAGTGTGACTCAGCTGTGAGTTCCCTGTCTGTCCCCCACCCCCATATCCTGGCCTGGGTGCTGGAGCAAACAGCAGTCCCCACGAAACTGAAAGAGAGGCAGGGAGGAGGAAAGAGAACCCGCTCAGGAGAAGTCTGCGCTCTCGTGCAAAAGGATCTGGAATAGGGTGACCCAACAGGATGGAACCCTTTGACGACACCCGCCCTACTCCAGACGAACCCTGTGAAAGAAACGGCACCCTCTCCACGGGCTGCTTCATGTGGGGACTGGGGTGAAGACCTGTGGAGATGCCTGACCTGCACTTAGTGAAGGACAGTGAAGAGGCAGAGATGGGGAGGGTGACAGAGAGGCGGGAGCTGGAGAGGCGATCTTTAAATCTGTGTATGGGTGTCCTGGGCACACCCCTAAGCAGCCTATGCATGAGGCCAACCAGAATAAGTACAGCAGAAACTCTGAGAATCCAATCGTGGTGTGGAAAACACCCAGGTTTCAGATTGGCCCCTGGGTAGTACGCAAGCAGGGTAGGCCAGAATAATAGTGCAGAGTCTCAGAGAAGTAAGGTTAGGATGTGTGATCTGAAACTAAATGGGTTGACTACTTGTTAGAATAGAATATTTAAATAGGAACCAGAGTTATAATACTCAAAATGTCCAGGATACATTACAAAATTACATACCATGTCAAGAACCAAGAAAGCCTCAACTTGAATGAGAAAAGACAGCTAGTAGACACACCAAAATGACATAGACATTGAAATTATCTGACAAGAATTTTAAAGTCGTCATAAAAATGCATCAGCAAGGAGTTTGAAACCCTTAAATGGAAAAGTAGAAAGTCTCAGAAAAAGAATAGAGATATAAAAAGAAAGAAATGGACACATTAGAACAGGAAAAATATAATATTTGAAATTGAAAAATAACCAAATGGACTCAATAAAAGAATAGAGACGACAGGGAAAGAGTCAGTGAACTTGAAACTAGATCAATGGAGACTTCCCTGGTGGTCCAGTGATTAAGACTCCGCGCTTCCACTGCAGGGGGTGTGGGTTCCATTCCTGGTCGGGGAACTAAGATCCCACATGCCGCATGGCATGGCCAAAACAACAACAAAGAAAACCACAAACAAACAAAAAACTATAGATCAATAGAAGTAATCAAATCTGGTCAATGGAGAGAAAATAGATTGAAAAAAAACCAAAACTCAAACAGTCTTACGAACTTGTGGGACAATAATCAAAGGTCTATAATTTGCGAGTCCCAGAAGAAAGGAGGAAGCGTGTAAGGCTGAGTAAACACTGGAGGAAATGATGGCTAAAGACTTCCCAAACTGGGGGAAAGAGATGAAAGAGATAAGCCTACATACTCAAGAAGCTAAGTGAACCCTACAAGGTCAGACTCCCCCAAATCTACCACCGGATACATCATGATTAAATTTCTCAAAACCAAAGAGGGGGGAACCTATGAAAAATAGCCAGAGGGAAACACTGCATTACTGATGGGGAAAAACAATTTGAGTAACAGCAGACTTCTCATCAGAAACATGGAGGCCAGAAGGAAGGGGCACATTCCCAAGTGTTGAAAGAAAAAGCATTGTCAAATCTATATCCACCAAAAATACCCTTCAGAATGAAGGCAAAATATTCTTAAGCTCAAGGAAAACTAAGGATTTTTTCACTTGAACACCTACTGTAAAACAATTGCTAAAGGAACTTCTGCAGACAGAAAGAGAACGGTAAGACGGAAACTTGGAATAGCAGGAATGAAGGGAGAACAATGGGGAAGTCAACACCGGGGAAACCACAATAGAGGATTCTCTTCCCCTTTAAAAAAAAGCTGTTTGGGGCTTCCCTGGTGGCGCAGTGGTTGAGAGTCTGCCTGCCGATGCAGGGGACACGGGTTCGTGCCCCGGTCCGGGAAGATCCCACATGCCGCAGAGCAGCTGGGCCCGTGAGCCATGGCCGCTGAGCCTGCGCGTCCGGAGCCTGTGCTCCACGAGAGAGGCCACAACAGTGAGAGGCCCGCGTACCGCAATAAAAAAAAAAAAAAAAGCTGTTTGACAGTTGAAGGTAAAAAACAAAATCAACATTGCCTGGTGGTGTTCTCAAAGTATGTAGACATGATATTTACAACAACTATGTTACAGGGTGGGGGGCAGAGGGATTTACATGGTCATAAGGTTTCTGTATTCGTCTTGCTATGGTAAAATATTGATCCTTGTAGACTGTGGTAAGTATGTGTATTGTAACCCCTAGAGCAACCACTAACAAAAACTATACAAAGAGATACAGTGAAAAATACTATAGATAACACAAAATGCATTACAAAACATTCAAGTGACCCACAGGAAGGTACAAAACAGAAAATGGGAACAAAACCCAAAGGGAGCAAAAAGAAAACAAATAATAAAACAGCAGACCTAAATCCTGACGTATCAGTAATTACATTACAAGCAAATGGTATAAACGGAGATAAGACAAAGATTGTCAGAATGGATTTTTTAAAAAATGAACCAACTATTCAGTCTTTGAGAAAATCACTTTGGGTATAATGCTATAGGTAAGTTAAAAGGATAGAAAAGACATCATTACGACAGTCAAAAGAAAGCTCACGTGGCTCTATAAATATCAGATAACGTAGACTCCACAGCAAAGGAAATTACCAAGGACGGAGCGGGGCCTTAACGTAATGATAAAGGGGTCAATTCAATATGAAGACGTAACCATCCTACATGCATCAACAGTTTCAAAACACATGAAGTAAAACTGCTGAAAGGAGACGTGGACGAGTCCACCCCATGGGTCGTCAGCGCTCCTCGGCCGTGGACAGGGCTAGTGGACGTGGGAGAGCTGACTTGCACCGTCCACCAGCAGGGCCTGGCTTGGCACTTTTGGGATGGCCCCCAAACAGCAGGGTACACATTTCAAGTGTACGTGGAACTTTCACCAAGTTAGGCCACAAAGCCCTAAACCTGATGTGGCACCTTTGCTGAAGCAGCCGAACGTCCTGGAGAAAGGCACACAGCCTGGCAGGCGGACAGCGCCTGGAAATGCCCGCGTGGGTTCCCGTCTTCCGAGACGACGGTCTCCTCGGGAGCCTCTTCCAGCCCCTCGCCCGTCCGGGGCTTGCCTTGCCCACGTGGACGCACTCAGCGTCTCCGTCCTCCACCTCGAGCACCCTCACCCCGGCAGCTCACCGCCCT